GCCCAGAACAGCATCAATGTTCTTGGCATGGATTCTACAGGTGTCTGGAACTCTATTGGAGGGATGTGACACCATTCTTCCACAATAAATTCTATAATTTGGTGCTTTGTTGATGGTGGTGGAAAACGCTGTCTCTGGCGCCGCTCCTGAATCTCCCAGAAGTGTTCAATTTGGTTCAGATCTGGGGCCTAACTGTGAATTTACTGAAATAGGTCTTGCTAAATGTTGCCGTACGTGGAGATTGTAAGATTTGCATGCGCCCCAAATTATTGGGATTTATCAAACTGTCGCATGCAACATATAAGCATGTTTTCATTGATAAAATCAGAGCCATTTTATATTTGTGCGGCCGTGAACCCCGCCTGGAAAACGCCCTCCATTCACCTTCTATGGTAACAAAAATGCCCTCATTTGTTGTATGATTTGGAAATGTTGGAACTGGGCCTTGTCCATTTCTAAAAGAAAGTGGTCAATCAGATCATATTTCTGAGAGGGCAGAATTATTTAATATTTTTCTAACAAAACACGCATGCCGCCTATAGCGGACACTGTCCGCATTGTGCATAAATGATAGTAGTGTTTTTCAATGATTGTCTATTCAAACCATTTAAAGTAAATGCTACAGCCCATATAGTGCAAAATAACAATGATTGTTCAATATTTAGTTCATCAATAGATAGTGTTTCTATGTCATGCCTTGGTGTAGGCTCTGAGATCAATAGATAGTGTTTCTATGTCCTGCCTTGGTGTAGGCTCTGAGATCAATAGATAGTGTTTCTATGTCCTGCCTTGGTGTAGGCTCTGAGATCAATAGATAGTGTTTCTATGTCCTGCCTTGGTGTAGGCTCTGAGATCAATAGATAGTGTTTCTATGTCCTGCCTTGGTGTAGGCTCTGAGATCAATAGATAGTGTTTCTATGCCCTGCCTTGGTGTAGGCTCTGAGATCAATAGATAGTGTTTCTATGTCCTGCCTTGGTGTAGGCTCTGAGATCAATAGATAGTGTTTCTATGTCATGCCTTGGTGTAGGCTCTGAGATCAATAGATAGTGTTTCTATGTCCTGCCTTGGTGTAGGCTCTGAGATCAATAGATAGTGTTTCTATGTCATGCCTTGGTGTAGGCTCTGAGATCAATAGATAGTGTTTCTATGCCCTGCCTTGGTGTAGGCTCTGAGATCAATAGATAGTGTTTCTATGTCCTGCCTTGGTGTAGGCTCTGAGATCAATAGATAGTGTTTCTATGTCCTGCCTTGGTGTAGGCTCTGAGATCAATAGATAGTGTTTCTATGTCCTGCCTTGGTGTAGGCTCTGAGATCAATAGATAGTGTTTCTATGTCCTGCCTTGGTGTAGGCTCTGAGATCAATAGATAGTGTTTCTATGTCCTGCCTTGGTGTAGGCTCTGAGATCAATAGATAGTGTTTCTATGTCATGCCTTGGTGTAGGCTCTGAGATCAATAGATAGTGTTTCTATGTCCTGCCTTGGTGTAGGCTCTGAGATCAATAGGCTATGATGTCACGCTCCTATCTCAGTCACAGCAATACTGCATACTGACTAGGCCACCAGTCTAGTAGCCAGAATAGATTCCGACCTTATACCTGCTTACAGCTGCACTGGGGTCAGACAGGCTTCCTGTTTACAGTGCATTCGGAAAGTATTCAGACCCTTTCCACATTTTGTTAGGTTACAGCCTTAATCTAAAATGGATTAAATAAATGTTCTCATCAATCTAAACACAATACCCCATAAAAAACAGACCCTTTGCTATAAGAGTCAAAATTGATGCATCCTGTTTCCATTGATCATCCTTGAGATGTTTCTACAACTTGATTGGAGTCCACCTGTGGTAAATTCAATTGGTTGGACATGATTTGGAAAGGCACACACCTGTCTAGATAAGGTCCCACAGTTGACAGTACATGTCAGAGCAGAAACCAAGCCATGAGGTCGAAGGAATTGTCCGTAGAGCTCTGAGACAGGATTGTGTCGAGGCACAGATCTGGGGAAGGGTACCAAAAAATGTCAGCAGCATTGAAGGTCCCCAAGAGCACAGTGGCCTCCATCATTCTTAAATGGAAGAAGTTTGGAACCACCAAGACTCTTCCAGGGAGGTGACCAAGAACCCGATGGTAACTCTGACAGAGCTCCAGAGTTCCTTGTGGAGATGGGAGAACCTTCCAGAAGGACAACCATCTCTGCAGCACTCCACCAATCAGGCCTTTATGGTAGAGTGGCCAGACAGAAGCCACTCCTCAGTAAAAGGCACATGACAGCCCGCATAGAGTTTGCCAAAAGCCACCTAAAGTACTCTTACCATGAGAAACAAGATTCTCTAGTCTGATGAAATCAAGATTGAAATATTTAGCCTGAATACCAAGAGCCACGTCTGGAGGAAACCTGGCACCATCCCTACGGTGAAGCATGGTGGTGGTAGCATCATGCGGTGGGGATGTTTTTCAGCGGCAGGGACTGGGAGACTAGTCAGGATCGAGGGAAAGATGAATTGAGCAAAGTACAGAGAGATCCTTGATAAAAACCTACTCCAGAGCGCTCATGACCTCAGACTGGGGTGAAGGTTCACCTTCCAACAGGACAACGACCCTAAGCAAACAGCCAAGATAATGCAGGAGTGGCTTCGGGACAAGTGTCTGAATGTCCTTGAGTGGCCCAGCCAGAGCCCGGACTTGAATCCGATCGAACATCTCTGGAGAGACCTGAAAATAGCTGTACAGCGATGCTCCCCATCCAACATGACAGAGCTTGAGAGGATCTGCAGAGAAGAATGGGAGAAACTCCCCAAATACAGGTGTGCCAAGCTTGTAGCGTCATACCCAAGAAGACACGAGGCTGTAATCGCTGCTTAAGGTGCATCAACAAAGTACTGAGTAAAAGGTCTGAATACTTATGTAAATGTCATATTTCCGTTTTTTACGTTTAATAAAAAAAACTGTTTTTACTTTGTCATTATGGGGTATTGTGTGTACAGTCGAGGTTAAACGTTTTGATAATGACACAAATACTAATTTTCACAAAGTCTGCTGCCTCAGTTTTTATGATGGCAATTTGCATATACTCCAGAATGTCATGAAGAGTGATCAGATGAATTGCAATGAATTGCAAAGTCCCTCTTTGCCATGAAAATGAACTTAATCCCCCAAAAACATTTCCACTGCATTTCAGCCCTGCCACAAAAGGACCAGCTGACATCATGTCAGTGATTCTCTCGTTAACACAGGTGAGAGTGTTGATGAGGACACGGCTGGAGATCACTCTGTCATGCTGATTGAGTTAGAATAACAGACTGGAAGCTTTAAAAGGAGGGTGGTGCTTGAAATCATTGTTCTTCCTCTGTTAACCATGGTTACCTGCAAGGAAACACGTGCCGTCATCATTGCTTTGCACAAAAAGGGCTTCACAGGCAAGGATATTGCTGCTAGTAAGATTGCACCTAAATCAACCATTTATCGGATCATCAAGAACGTCAAGGAGAGAGGTTCAATTGTTGTGAAGAAGGCGTCAGGGCGCCCAAGAAAGTCCAGCAAGCGCCAGGACCGTCTCCTAAAGATGATTCAGCTGCGGGATCGGGGAACCACCAGTGCAGAGCTTGCTCAGAAATGGCAGCAGGCAGGTGTGAGTGCATCTGCACACACAGTGAGGCGAAGACTTTTGGAGGATGGCCTGGTGTCAAGAAGGGCAGCAAAGAAGCCACTTATCTCCAGGAAAAACATCAGGGACAGACTGATATTCTGCAAAAGGTACAGGGATTGGATTGCTGAGGACTGGGGTAAAGTCATTTCCTCTGATGAATCCCCTTTGCGATTGTTTGGGGCATCCGGAAAACACCTTGTCCTGAGAAGACAAGGTGAGCGCTACCATCAGTCCTGTGTCATGCCAACAGTAAAGCATCCTGAGACCATTCATGTGTGGGGTTGCTTCTCAGCCAAGGGAGTGGGCTCACTCACAATTTTGCCTAAGAACACAGCCATGAATAAAGAATGGTACCAACACATCCTCCGAGAGCAACTTCTCCCAACCATCCAAGAACAGTTTGGTGACAACCAATGCCTTTTCCAGCATGATGGAGCACCTTGCCATAAGGCAAAAGTGATAACTAAGTGGCTCGGGCAACAAAACATCGACATTTTGGGTCCATGGCCAGGAAACTCCCCAGACCTTAATCCCATTGAGAACTTTTCCTCAAGAGGCGGGTGGACAAACAAAACCCCACAAATTCTGACAAACTCCAAGCATTGATTATGCAAGAATGGGCTGCCATCAGTCAGGATGTGGCCCAGAAGACACGACGTCTTCTACCCCCCCAAGCCATAAGACTCCTGAACAGCTAATCATGGCTACTCGGACTATTTGACACCACCTCTTTTAACGCTGCTGCTACTCTCTGTTTATTATTTATGTATAGTTAAATTAACTCTACCCACATGTACATATTGCCTCAATTACCTCGACTAACCAGTGCCCCCACACATTGACTCTGCACCGGTACCCCCCTGTATATAGCCTCCCTACTGTTATTTTATTTTACTGCTGCTCTTTAATTATTTTGTATTAATATTTTTTACTGATCTATTTCTTTACTTAACACATATTTTTCTTAAAATCTGCATTGTTGGTTAAGGGCTTGTAAGTAAGCATTTCACTGTAAGGTCTACACCTGTTGTAATCGGTGCATGTGGCAAATACAATTTGATTTGATTTGATTTGAGGTATGGCTCAGAAAACGTACCTCAATACAGGGATGAGAAATTGCGTTGTACTCAGAATTGTCCCATTATCCTAATTGTTACAACGAGAAGATTGAACGACTGCTAAAAAACTAGGTTGTGTAACATGGGACAGAACAATTCAAAAAGCAAATGTGATTTTCACATCTGAAAATGCAAATCCACATTAGAATGTTATTGTGTCTGTCTGTCTGCCTGTCTACCTGTCTGTCTGCCTGTCTGTCTGCCTGTCTGTCTGCCTGCCTGACTGTCTGCTTGACTGCCTGTCTGTCTGTCTGTCTGTCTGTCTGTCTGCCTGTCTGTCTGCCTGACTGTCTGCTTGACTGTCTGTCTGCTGCCTGCCTGTCTGTCTGCCTGTCTGCTTGACTGCCTGTCTGCCTGTCTGTCTGTCTGTCTGCCTGTCTGTCTGCCTGCCTGCCTGCCTGTCTACCTGTCTGTCTACCTGCCTGCCTGCCTGCCTGTCTGTCTGTCTACATGCAGGTGTCTGTGCTGAGTCTGAGGTCTAAGTGGACCCCTGATGACACCCCCAGCAGAGTAGAACACACACACACACACACACACACACACACACACACACACACACACACACAGCAGAGTAGAACACACACACACACACCCAGCAGAGTAGAACACACACACACACACACACACACACACACACACACACACACACACCCAGCAGAGTAGAACACACACACACACACACACACACACACACACACACACACACCCAGCAGAGACCACAGTGACAAATCCTCTTAACGCTGATAAACAGGAGGTAAAGTAACAGGTTGGACTGGGCTTTAAGACAGATTAGGCCTAACACACTAACAGCACCCTACTCCATATATAGTGCACTACAGTTAGGAAGCACCCAGAAAGATGTAACAAGGTGCTCTTAACATTGAGACACCCAGAAAGATGTAACAAGGTGCTCTTAACAACGACTTGAAGTACAGTACACTCACACAAAGGGTTTACCCAGGATGTACCAGAGATGCAATGAGTGGACAAAACATTAGGAACACCTTCCTAATTTTGAGTTGCACCCCCTTTTGCCCTCAGAAAAGCTTCAATTCGCCTGTGCATGGACTCTACAAGGTGTCGAAAGCGTTCCACAGGGATGCTGGCCCATGTTGACTCCAATGCTTCCCACAGTCCTTTGGGTGGTGGACCACTCTTGATACACACAGTAAACTATTGACGTGAAAAACCAAGAATTGTTGCAGTTCTTGACACACTCAAACCGGTATGCCTGGCACCTACTACCATACCCCATTCAAAGGCATTTAAATATTTTGTCTTGCCCATTCACCCTCTGAATGGCACACATACGCAATCAAGGTCTCAATTGTCTCAAGGCTTAAAAATCCTTCTTTAACCTGTCTCCGCCCCTTCATCTACACTGATTGAAGTGGATTTAACAAGTGACATTAATAAGGGATCATAGCTTTCACCTGGATTTACTTGATCAGTCTATGTCATGGAAAGAGAAGGTGTTCTTAATGTTTTGTATACTCAGTGCAATTGGCCAGTGTCACTGGGTTTACTTTGCAATGTTTGTGTTTCTATCTAGAAATCCTGATCATAAAGTTTATTAGCACTGTGTAAGTATCCTTAGAGACCTCTACCATCCGGTTCTCTGTACCTATAGACAGAACAACTGTGTGTTAGATAATAGAAAGCATTCATTAACCTGACCTTTACCTGACTTTTATCTGACCTTTATCTGACCTTTACCTGTGTTCTTCCTCCCAGCATCTTTTTATCCTTCTCTATTTCGTCCCCTTCATTTCCTCCTCTCTATCCTCCCTGAATCCCCCCTTCACTTCAAACCATCCCTATTTCTGGGGCTCAACTGTGCACTAAACATCACACACACTCCAAACCCAAGTGCTCAGTCTCTAGGCATCCCCTCTAGCCCCTCATTACAGAATGAGAGAGAGAGAGAGAGAGAGAGAGAGAGAGAGAGAGAGAGAGAGAAGGAGAGAGAGAGAGAGAGAGGAGAGAGAGAGAGAGAGAGAGAGAGAGAGAGAGAGAGACAGCTGAGAAGGAGAGAAAGAGAGAGAGAGAAGAGACAGCTGAGAGGGAGAGAAAGAGAGAAATAGAGAGAAAGAGAGAACTAAGAGAGCTGAGATGGAGAGCAGTTTGGACTGGTTGAAGCCTAGTGGGATGGATTATTTCTAAAGTGTTTAAGTCTGCGGTGAATCATCATAATCTGGTAAGAGTCTGCAGTTAAAATGTTAATATAGCTACATGTACATACAGTGGGGAAAAATAGTATTTAGTCAGCCACCAATTGTGCAAGTTCTCCCACTTAAAAAGATGAGAGAGGCCTGTAATTTTCATCATAGGTACACGTCAACTATGACAGACAAATTGAGATTTTTTTTCTCCAGAAAATCACATTGTAGGATTTTTAATGAATTTATTTGCAAATTATGGTGGAAAATAAGTATTTAGTCAATAACAAAAGTTTCTCAATACTTTGTTATATACCCTTTGTTGGCAATGACACAGGTCAAACGTTTTCTGTAAGTCATCACAAGGTTTTCACACACTGTTGCTGGTATTTTGGCTCATTCCTCCATGCAGATCTCCTCTAGAGCAGTGATGTTTTGGGGCTGTCGCTGGGCAACACAGACTTTCAACTCCCTCCAAAGATTTTTATTGGGGTTGAGATCTGGAGACTGGCTAGGCCACTCCAGGACCTTGACCGAAGCCACTCCTTCGTTGCCCGGGCGGTGTGTTTGGGATCATTGTCATGCTGAAAGACCCAGCCACGTTTCATCTTCAATGCCCTTGCTGATGGAAGGAGGTTTTCACTCAAAATCTCACGATACATGGCCCCATTCATTCTTTCCTTTACACGGATCAGCCGTCCTGGTCCCTTTGCAGAAAAACAGCCCCAAAGCATGATGTTTCCACCCCCATGCTTCACAGTAGGTATGGTGTTCTTTGGATGCAACTCAGCATTCTTTGTCCTCCAAACAAGACGAGTTGAGTTTTTACCAAAAAGTTATATTTTGGTTTCATCTGACCATATGACATTCTCCCAATCCTCTTCTGGATCATCCAAATGCACTCTAGCAAACTTCAGACGGGCCTGGACATGTACTGGCTTAAGCAGGGGGACACGTCTGGCACTGCAGGATTTGAGTCCCTGGCGGCGTAGTGTGTTACTGATGGTAGGCTTTGTTACTTTGGTCCCTGCTCTCTGCTGGTCATTCACTAGGTCCCCCCGTGTGGTTCTGGGATTTTTGCTCACCGTTCTTGTGATCATTTTGACCCCACGGGGTTAGATTTGCGTGGAGCCCAAGATCGAGGGAGATTATCAGTGGTCTTGTATGTCTTCCATTTCCTAATAATTGCTTCCACAGTTGATTTCTTCAAACCAAGCTGCTTACCTATTGCAGATTCAGTCTTCCCAGCCTGGTGCAGGTCTACAATTTTGTTTCTGGTGTCCTTTGACAGCTCTTTGGTCTTGGCCATAGTGGAGTTTGGAGTGTGACTGTTTGAGGTTGTGGACAGGTGTCTTTTATACTGATAACAAGTTCAAACAGGTGCCATTAATACAGGTTACGAGTGGAGGACAGAGGAGCCTCTTAAAGAAGAAGTTACAGGTCTGTGAGAGCCTGAAATCTTGCTTGTTTGTAGGTGACCAAATACTTATTTTCCACCATAATTTGCAAATAAATTCATAAAAAATCCTACAGTGTGATTTTCTGGAGAAAAAAATGCTCAATTTGTCTGTCATAGTTCACGTGTACCTATGATGTAAATTACAGGCCTCTCTCATCTTTTTAAGTGGGAGAACTTGCACAATTGGTGGCTGACTAAATATTTTTTTTCCCCCACTGTAAGTTATTGTCTCAACTGTATCAAAATGTCATTTTCATTGCTAGCTACTGTTAGCTATATAGCTATTTGGTTTGATTTTTATAGTGGTACCTGTATGCATCTGTCCAGCTAGCTAGCAATGAAAGAGTATCATCATGTCATGCATGGCTTAGCACATCAGCAATCAACATTAACAGCAGAATGCAACTGGCTAGCTCATCTAGCTGTCTTAACATTGCTTCGTCCCGCAATGAGCCATCAGTAAAAAATAGCTTGTTGCGGGATGAAGCAAGCTATAGCTAGACAGATGCATACAGGTACCGTTATACAAATCAAACCAAATTGTATTGGTCACATTCACATATTTAGCAGATGTTATTGCGGGTGTAGCGAAATGCTATAGCTTGCTTCATCCCGCAACAAGCCATTGTTTACAGATTGCTCGTTGCAGGACAAAGCGACGTTAACATTTACATTTTTACATTTTAGCTGAGCTAGCCAGTTGTATTCTGCTGTTAATGTTGATTGCTGATGTGCTAAGCCATGCATGACATGATGATCATCTTTGTCATGTTTGCCAATTTGTCATGTTTAACTAGCTAGCTACCGAAAATAGACACTGCGGTGCGAATGCTAAGTGATTGGCAAGCTAATCAAACCCCATGTTACGTTATAGGGACACATGCTAAGTTGGCTAGCTAGATAGCCACGATGCTCAACTAGCTGGCTAGCTAGATGGATACCATTTTCATCTAGCCAGCTGGTAATTATGAAGCTAAACATTTGCTAAATCTAGCTAGTTATCTTGTGTCTGCATTGCCATTGTTGGACGGAAAGCAGGTTCAGGGTCACAGCTGTAGCAGTCAACGGGCAACAACAAGCTATAGGACATGAATTAATTCATGTTTTAACCTATTTTTCTGGAATTTGTCTTGCCTCCAGTACAAGGAGATGATCGAGGGTGAACAAGCAACGCTTCAGGTATTTTGTCTTTGTACTTTGAGCTTATTGCTTGACCTTGGGGGTCAATTAATATGTTATTGCTGCTATGCAGGTTTTAATGTATTGTCTATTTGTCTGCTTTCTTCCTTTACAGCTTTAACTGTCTGGAGCCTGGTGTTGTTGTGGCCAAGGAGCTTTCACTCAGATGGAACCAGGTTTCAGCTGCTGTGCAACGTTGACGTCCTTCCTCCCAGAGATGTGAAAGCATTCCCTGGACTGGACACAACCCGGCAAACATATATTTTTGAGAAGATCAATACTTTTATAATGAAAAGGCCATGGACATTACATGTCCTACACCAAAGGAGAGGACAGAAATATGCTCTCAGGCTCGATTCCTTTGTTCATATAATAACATGACCTGAACCAAAGTTACTCAAAGGATCTTATGATATGGGCCTAGGTCTAGATATTGTTTTTACCTAAGCCTTTATGTGTTTTAAGTTTTGTCCTGATTGTAGGCTACTACCTTTAGCACTTGAAGTTAATAAAGTATTTGATTGTTGACATGTTTTCTTTGTTTTTTAAGCACTACCTCACTGCTTTAGCACATGGCCACAGTCACATGTTCCAACGTGAATCCGCTAAGAGATGGGTGGGTCTAAGGCTTAAGAGGGTGTGAACCATGCTAAATGGGCGTAAACAATGATCAGCACTGTAGCTGTGTTCTATCTACAGTGAGGGAAAAAAGTATTTGATCCCCTGCTGATGTTGTACGTTTGCCCACTGACAAAAGAAATGATCAGTCTATAATTTTAATGGTAGGTTTATTTGAACAGTGAGAGACAGAATAACAACAACAAAATCCAGAAAAACTCATGTCAAAAATGTTATAAATTGATTTACATTTTAAATGAGGGAAAGAAGTATTTGACCCCCTCTCAATCAGAAAGATTTCTGGCTCCCAGGTGTCTTTTATACAGGTAACGAGCTGAGATTAGGCGCACACTCTTAAAGGGAGTGCTCCTAATCTCAGCTTGTTACCTGTATAAAAGGCACCTGTCCACAGAAGCAATCAATTAGATTCCAAACTCTCCACCATGGCCAAGACCAAAGAGCTCTCCAAGGATGTCAGGGACAAGATTGTAGACCTACACAAGGCTGGAATGGGCTACAAGACCATCGCCAAGCAGCTTGGTGAGAAGGTGACAACAGTTGGTGCGATTACCCGCAAATGGAAGAAACACAAAATAACTGTCAATCTCCCTCGGCCTGGGGCTCCATGCAAGATCTCACCTCGTGGAGTTGCAATGATCATGAGAACGGTGAGGAATCAGCCCAGAACTTCCCCCTCCCCTCCATTCTCCCCTCCCCTCCATTTAACCCCCTCCCCTCCCTTCTCCCCCCCCCCCCTCCATTTAACCCCCTCCCCTCCCTTCTCCCCCCCCTCCCCTCCCCTTCAATCAAAATCAATCAAATGTATTTATTAAGCCCGTTTTACATCAGCAGATGTCACAAAGTGCTTTACAGAAACCCAGCCTAAAACCCCAGACAGCAAGCAATGCAGATGTAGAAGCACCGTGGCTAGGAAAAACTCCCTACAAAGGCAGAAACCTATGAAGAAACCTAGAGAGGAACCAGGCTCTGAGGGGTGGCCAGTCCTCTTCTGGCTGTGCCGGGTGGAGATTATAAGAGTACATGGCCATTTAAGGCCAGATCGTTCTTCAAGACGTTCAAACGTTCATAGATGACCAGCAGTGTCAAATAATAATCAAAGTGGTTGTAGAGGGTGCAACAGGTCAGTACCTCAGGAGTAAATGTCAGTTGGCTTTTCATAGCCGAGCATTCAGAGGTCGAGACAGCAGGTGAGGGAGAGAGGGAGAGAGAGAGAGAGAGAGAGAGGGAGAGAGAGAGAGTGGAAAACAGCGGGTCCGGGACAAGGTAGTGTGAGGATTGGTTCAGGCAGACTGAAAAGGAGACTGAGTTTGTGTGATTTGTGTGAGCATGTATGAAGTGACACTCACCCCATTCTTTGGGTAGGCTATCCACCCCAGGTCCCCCATGACAGAACGAGAGTCCAGTAAGTTCACTGCAGGAACAGAAGAAGAAAACTGTCAGTATATACAGTCGTGGTCAAAAGTTTTAAGAATGGACACAAGTATTGGTCTTCACAAAGTTTGCTGCTTCAGTGTTCTGAGATATTTTTTGTCAGATGTTACTATGGTATACTGAAGTATAATTACAAGCATTCCATAAGTGTCAAATGCTTTTATTGACAATTACATTAAGTTTATGCAAAGAGTCAATATTTGCAGTGTTGACCCTTCTTTTTCAAGACCTCTGCAATCCGCCCTGGCATGCTGTCAATTAACTTCTGGGCCACATCCTGACTGATGGCAGCCCATTGTTGCATAATCAATGCTTGGAGTTTGTCAGAATTTGTGGGGTTTTGTTTGTCCACCCGCCTCTTGAGGATTGACCACAAGTTCTCAATGGGATTAAGGTCTGGGGAGTTTCCTGGCCATGGACCCAAAATGTCGATGTTTTGTTGCCCGAGCCACTTAGTTATCACTTTTGCCTTATGGCAAGGTGCTCCATCATGCTTGAAAAGGCATTGGTTGTCACCAAACTGTTCTTGGATGGTTGGGAGAAGTTGCTCTCGGAGGATGTGTTGTTAACATTCTTTATTCATGGCTGTGTTCTTAGGCAAAATTGTGAGTGAGCCCACTCCCTTGGCTGAGAAGCAACCCCACACATGAATGGTCTCAGGATGCTTTACTGTTGGCATGACACAGGACTGATGGTTTTCCGGATGGTTTTCCGGATGCCCCAAACAATCACAAAGGGGATTCATCAGAGAAAATGACTTTACCCCAGTCCTCAGCAGTCCAATCCCTGTACCTTTTGTAGAATATCAATATGTCCCTGATGTTTTTCCTGGAGATAAGTGGCTTCCTCGCTGCCCTTCTTGACACCAGGCCATCCTCCAAAAGTCTTCGCCTCACTGTGCGTGCAGATGCACTCACACCTGCCTGCTGCCATTTCTGAGCAAGCTCTGCACTGGTGGTGCCCCGATCCCGCAGCTGAATCAACTTTAGGAGACAGTCCTGGCACTTGCTGGACTTTCTTGGGCGCCCTGAAGCCTTCTTCACAACAATTGAACCTCTCTCCTTGAAGTTCTTGATGATCCGATAAATGGTTGATTTTGGTGCAATCTTACTAGCAGCAATATCCTTGCCTGTGAAGCCCTTTTTGTGCAAAGCAATGATGACAGCACGTGTTTTTCTTTGCAGGTAACCATGGTTAACAGAGGAAGAACAATGATTTCAAGCACCACCCTCCTTTTAAAGCTTCCAGTCTGTTATTCTAACTCAATCAGCATGTCAGAGTGATCTCCAGCCTTGTCCTCGTCAACACTCTCACCTGTGTTAACGAGAGAATCACTAACATGATGTGGTCCTCTGTAGCTCAGCTGGTAGAGCACGGTGCTTGTAACGCCAAGGTAGTGGGTTCGATCCCCGGGACCACCCATACACAAAAAACAAAACAAAAAAAACGTATGCACGCATGACTGTAAGTCGCTTTGGATAAAAGCGTCTGCTAAATGGCATATTATATGTCAGCTGGTCCTTTTGTGCAGAGCTGAAATGAAGTGGAAATGTTTTTGGGGGATTAAGTTCATTTTCATGGCAAAGAGGGACTTTGCAATTAATTGCAATTCATCTGATCACTCTTCATAACATTCTGGAGTATATGCAAATTGCCATCATAAAAACTGAGGCAGCAGACTTTGTGAAAATTAGTATTTGTGTCATTCTCAAAACTTTTGACCACGACTGTAGAACACATTTGGGAAGCTTTGAAATTAAAAACACTTTTTTCACATAGCCCTTGGACCCAAATTGTAGTGATCCTTCAGTGAGCCACACGATAGCCGTATGAACTCTGAAACAGACCTACTGGAAACTGAACAGTATAGACAGACCTACTGGTAACTGACCAGTATAGACAGACCTACTGGAAACTGAACAGTATAGACAGACCTACAGGAAACTGAACAGTATAGACAGACCACATGAAACTGAACAGTATAGACAGACCTACTGGTAACTGAACAGTATAGACAGACCTACTGGAAACTGAACAGTATAGACAGACCTACATGAAACTGAACAGTATATACAGACCTACTGAACAGTATAGACAGACCTACTGGAAACTGAACAGTATAAACAGACCTACTGAACATTATAGACAGACCTACTGGAAACTGAACAGTATAGACAGACCTACTGGAAACTGAAAAGTATAGACAGACCTACATGAAACTGAACAGTATAGACAGACCTACTGGAAACTGAACAGTATAGACAGACCTACTGAACAGTATAGACAAACCTACTGGTAACTGAACAGTATATACAGACCTACTGGTAACTGAACAGTATATACATACCTCCTTTAAACTGAACAGTATATACAGACCTACTGGAAACTGAACAGTATAGACAGACCTACTGGAAACTGAACAGGATATACAGACCTACTGGTAACTGAACAGTATAGACAGACCTCCTTTAAACTGAACAGTATAGACAGACCTACTGGAAACTGAACAGTATAAACAGACCTACTGGAAACTGAACAGTATAGACAGACCTACTGGAAACTGAACAGTATAGACAGACCTACATGAAACTGAACAGTATAGACAGACCTACATGAAACTGAACAGTATAAACAGACCTACTGGAAACTGAACAGTATAGACAGACCTACTGGAAACTGAACAGTATAGACAGACCTACATGAAACTGAACAGTATAGACAGACCTACTGGAAACTGAACAGTATAGACAGACCTACATGAAACTGAACAGTATAGACAGACCTACATGAAACTGAACAGTATAGACAGACCTACTGGAAACTGAACAGTATAGACAGACCTACTGGTAACTGAACAGTATATACAGACCTCCTTTAAACTGAACAGTATAGACAGACCTACAGGAAACTGAACAGTATAGACAGACCTACTGGTAACTGAACAGTATATACAGACCTCCTTTAAACTGAAAAGTATAGACAGACCTACATGAAACTGAACAGTATAGACAGACCTACATGAAACTGAACAGTATAGACAGACCTACATGAAATTGAACAGTATAGACAGACCTACTGAAAACTGAACAGTATAGACAGACCTACTGGTAACTGAACAGTATAGACAGACCTACTGAACAGTATAGACAGACCTACTGGTAACTGAACAGTATAGACAGACCTACTGAACAGTATAGACAGACCTACTGGTAACTGAACAGTATAGACAGACCTACTGAACAGTATAGACAGACCTACTGGTAACTGAACAGTATAGACAGACCTACTGGAAATTGAACAGTATAGACAGACCTACTGAACAGTATAGACAGACCTACTGGTAACTGAACAGTATAGACAGACCTACTGAACAGTATAGACAGACCAACTGGTAACTGAACAGTATAGACAGACCTACTGAACAGTATAGACAGACCTACTGGTAACTGAACAGTATAGACAGACCTACTGGAAATTGAACAGTATAGACAGACCTACTGAACAGTATAGACAGACCTACTGGTAACTGAACAGTATAGACAGACCTACTGAACAGTATAGACAGACCTACTGGTAACTGAACAGTATAGACAGACCTACTGAACAGTATAGACAGACCTACTGGTAACTGAACAGTATAGACAGACCTACTGGTAATTGAACAGTATAGACAGACCTACTGGTAATTGAACAGTATAGACAGACCTACTGGTAATTGAACAGTATATACAGACCTACTGGAAATTGAACAGTATAGACAGACCTACTGAACAGTATAGACAGACCTACTGGTAACTGAACAGTATAGACAGACCTACTGAACAGTATAGACAGACCTACTGAACAGTATAGACAGACCTACTGGTAACTGAACAGTATAGACAGACCTACTGGTAACTGAACAGTATAGACAGACCTACTGGTAACTGAACAGTATAGACAGACCTACTGAACAGTATAGACAGACCTACTGAACAGTATAGACAGACCTACTGAACAGTATAACAGCAGTAAACAAATATTGTAGGAGTGGCCTTTGCAAAATGCTGCCGAATAATAATGCCCCATTTATTAAAGGGCCCACAACCCAATGCCTTCACCAATGGAAAGGCAATATTCCTTCACCAATGAAAAGTCATCATTCGTTCACCAATGAAAAGTCATAATTCCTAGCATAACAATCTGTCTATTTAAAGTTTTTTAAAGTAGGTCTTGGTTTGTTCCAGCTGATTGGTGGGCAGGCTAACAGACACGGTCTAGTACATTGGTCCAGTCTGATTGGTGGGCAGGCTAACAGACACTGTCTAGTACATTGGTCCAGTCTGATTGGTGGGCAGGCTAACAGACACTGTCTACTCCAGATAGAATATACCCTAATTAGGAGAAAAATAACTTCATTGTAGTGAAGTCGATGATAACAGGGAGGTTATGTCTTTCTCCAAGAGAGGATCTAAGGAGTCAGTAGATGAAAGGACAATCCTTTCCACATTGTGAAACTAAGTGTGGATTATTCTCATAGTTAGAGAATTAAGATATATTACAAATTATTAATGGTGGTTATCACCATTGAATGACTTATTCCCAGAGTGGATACAAGGATGTGTCTTATTCCCAGAGTGGATACAAGGATGTGTCTTATTCCCAGAGTGGATACAAGGATGTGTCTTATTCCCAGAGTGGATACAAGGATGTGTCTTATTCCCAGAGTGGATTCAAGGATGTGTCTTATTCCCAGAGTGGATTCAAGGATGTGTCCGGTGTCCTGTGTAGATTTAAGTATGCTCCCTCTAATCTCTCTCTCTCCCCCTCTCCTCCCGGAGGACCTGAGACCTAGGACCCTGCCTCAGGACTACCTGGCCTGATGACTCCTGGCTGTCTCTCTCCCCCTCTCCTCCCAGAGGACCTGAGACCTAGGACCCTGCCTCAGGACTACCTGGCCTGATGACTCCTGGCTGTCTCTCTCCCCCTCCCCTCCCAGAGGACCTGAGACCTAGGACCATGCCTCAGGACTACCTGGCCTGATGACTCCTGGCTGTCCCCAGTCCACCTGGTCGTGCTGCTGCTCCAGTTTCCACTCTTCTGCCTGCGGCTAGGGAACCCTGACCTGTTCACCGGACGTGCTACCTTGTCCCAGACCTGCTGTTTTCAACTCTCTCTCTCTACCGCACTGGCTATTTCAACCTATAAATGCCTGGCTATGAAAAGCCAAGTGACATTTACTCTTGATTTACTGACCTGTTACAACCACTGTGATTATTATTTTACCCTGCTGGTCATCTATGAACGTTTGAACATCTTGGAGAAAAATCTGGCCTTAATGGCCATGTACTGTTATAATCTCCACCTGGCACAGCCAGAAGAGGACTGGTCACCCCTCAGAGCCTGGTTCCTCTCTACCCAGTACAGCCAGAAGAGGACTGGCCACCCCTCAGAGCCTGGTTCCTCTCTACCCAGTACAGCCAGAAGAGGACTGGCCACCCCTCAGAGCCTGGTTCCTCTCTACCCAGTACAGCCAGAAGAGGACTGGCCACCCCTCAGAGCCTGGTTCCTCTCTACCCAGTACAGCCAGATGAGGACTGGCCACCCCTCAGAGCCTGGTTCTTCTCTACCCAGTACAGCCAGATGAGGACTGGCCACCCCTCAGAGCCTGGTTCCTCTCTACCCAGTACAGCCAGAAGAGGACTGGCCACCCCTCAGAGCCTGGTTCCTCTCTACCCAGTACAGCCAGAAGAGGACTGGCCACCCCTCAGAGCCTGGTTCCTCTCTACCCAGTACAGCCAGTAGAGGACTGGCCACCCCTCAGAGCCTGGTTCCTCTCCAGGTTTCTTCCTAGGTTCCTGCCTTTCTAGGGAGTTTTTCCTAGCCACCGTGCTTCTCCATCTGCATTGCTGCTGTTTGGGGTTTTAGGCTGGGTTTCTGTATGGCACTTTGTGACATCTGCTGATATAAAAAGGGCTTTATAAATACATTTGATTGATTGATTGATTGACTTGTGAATTCAGCAGCTGACAAGCTACACTAAGCCAGGTGCCAAAACAGTGAGATAATAAAAGTGCTTTATAAATACATTTGATTGATTGATTGAAGGATGTAAGAAGGAAGTAGCGTACCGTCTACATTACATTCAGCAGAAAGGACAAATGTTTTATCAGTAAATCCTTCTCTGAGTCCAATAGAAGCAAATTAATTCATAATAATTATTTTAAATGGACAACTCTTTATCCATACACAGTGTGTGTGTGTATGTGAACAAAAGAAGGATTTTAATCCCAAAATAGATATTTTTAGATGTGTGAAATGAGCAGCGTTATGGCGCTACTTCATTAGATCACCGTGCCTCTATTGTGTTGACGTCAATCCTATCTGTATTAGAGGTTATGTCCCAGAAGTGCCCTTCTTTTGACCAGAACGATATGGGCCCTAGTGCACTATGTAGGGAACATTGTGCCATTTGGGACACACAGCCTCTGAATCAGACCATTAGGCTCATCATCAGCCGGGGCTATTCAACTGCAGCACACACAACCAGGTCTCAGTATGGCTCTCTGGTTTTAGACTGGCACAAACACAAGCATTATCAATGCTATTCTACTGGCTCTCTGGTTTTAGACTGGCACAAACACAAGCATTATCAACGCTATTCTACTGTACTCAACACTAGCATTATCAATGCTATTCTACTGTGCTCAACACAAGCATTATCAATGCTATTCTACTGTGCTCAACACTAGCATTATCAATGCTATTCTACTGTACTCAACACTAGCATTATCAATGCTATTCTACTGTACTCAACACTAGCATTATCAATGCTATTCTACTGTACTCAACACTAGCATTATCAATGCTATTCTACTGTGCTCAACACAAGCATTATCAATGCTATTCTACTGTGCTCAACACTAGCATTATCAATGCTATTCTACTGTGCTCAACACAAGCATTATCAATGCTATTCTACTGTGCTCAACACAAGCATTATCAATGCTATTCTACTGCTGCTCCTGGTTTTAGACTGGCACAAACACAAGCATTATCAATGCTATTCTACTGTGCTCAACACTAGCATTATCAATGCTATTCTACTGTGCTCAACACTAGCATTATCAATGCTATTCTACTGTACTCAACACTAGCATTATCAATGCTATTCTACTGTACTCAACACTAGCATTATCAATGCTATTCTACTGTACTCAACACTAGCATTATCAATGCTATTCTACTGTGCTCAACACTAGCATTATCAATGCTATTCTACTGTGCTCAACACAAGCATTATCAATGCTATTCTACTGTGCTCAACACTAGCATTATCAATGCTATTCTACTGTGCTCAACACAAGCATTATCAATGCTATTCTACTGTGCTCAACACAAGCATTATCAATGCTATTCTACTGGCTCTCTGGTTTTAGACTGGCACAAACACAAGCATTATCAATGCTATTCTACTGTGCTCAACACTAGCATTATCAATGCTATTCTACTGTGCTCAACACAAGCATTATCAATGCTATTCTACTGTGCTCAACACAAGCATTATCAATGCTATTCTACTGTGCTCAACACTAGCATTATCAATGCTATTCTACTGTGCTCAACACAAGCATTATCAATGCTATTCTACTGTGCTCAACACTAGCATTATCAATGCTATTCTACTGTGCTCAACACAAGCATTATCAATGCTATTCTACTGTGCTCAACACTAGCATTATCAATGCTATTCTACTGTGCTCAACACTAGCATTATCAATGCTATTCTACTGTGCTCAACACAAGCATTATCAATGCTATTCTACTGTGCTCAACACTAGCATTATCAATGCTATTCTACTGTACTCAACACAAGCATTATCAATGCTATTCTACTGTGCTCAACACTAGCATTATCAATGCTATTCTACTGTGCTCAACACTAGCATTATCAATGCTATTCTACTGTACTCAACACAAGCATTATCAATGCTATTCTACTGTGCTCAACACTAGCATTATCAATGCTATTCTACTGTGCTCAACACTAGCATTATCAATGCTATTCTACTGTACTCAACACTAGCATTATCAATGCTATTCTACTGTGCTCAACACTAGCATTATCAATGCTATTCTACTGTGCTCAACACAAGCATTATCAATGCTATTCTACTGTGCTCAACACTAGCATTATCAATGCTATTCTACTGTGCTCAACACAAGCATTATCAATGCTATTCTACTGTGCTCAACACAAGCATTATCAATGCTATTCTACTGGCTCTCTGGTTTTAGACTGGCACAAACACAAGCATTATCAATGCTATTCTACTGTGCTCAACACTAGCATTATCCAATGCTATTCTTACTGTGCTCAACACAAGCATTATCAATGCTATTCTACTGTGCTCAAACACAAGCATTATCAATGCTATTCTACTGGCTCTCTGGTTTTAGACTGGCACAAACACAAGCATTATCAATGCTATTCTACTGTGCTCAACACTAGCATTATCAATGCTATTCTACTGTGCTCAACCACTAGCATTATCAATGCTATTCTACTGTGCTCAACACTAGCATTATCAATGCTATTCTACTGTACTCAACACAAGCATTATCAATGCTATTCTACTGTGCTCAACACTAGCATTATCAATGCTATTCTACTGTGCTCAACACTAGCATTATCAATGCTATTCTACTGTACTCAACACTAGCATTATCAATGCTATTCTACTGTGCTCAACACTAGCATTATCAATGCTATTCTACTGTGCTCAACACAAGCATTATCAATGCTATTCTACTGTGCTCAACACTAGCATATCAATGCTATTCTACTGTGCTCAACACAAGCATTATCAATGCTATTCTACTGTGCTCAACACAAGCATTATCAATGCTATTCTACTGGCTCTCTGGTTTTAGACTGGCACAAACACAAGCATTATCAATGCTATTCTACTGTGCTCAACACTAGCATTATCAATGCTATTCTACTGTGCTCAACACAAGCATTATCAATGCTATTCTACTGTGCTCAACACAAGCATTATCAATGCTATTCTACTGTGCTCAACACTAGCATTATCAATGCTATTCTACTGTGCTCAACACAAGCATTATCAATGCTATTCTACTGTGCTCAACACTAGCATTATCAATGCTATTCTACTGTGCTCAACACAAGCATTATCAATGCTATTCTACTGTGCTCAACACTAGCATTATCAATGCTATTCTACTGTGCTCAACACTAGCATTATCAATGCTATTCTACTGTGCTCAACACTAGCATTATCAATGCTATTCTACTGTGCTCAACACTAGCATTATCAATGCTATTCTACTGTGCTCTTTTTAACTGTCACCAATATTACTGTCATTTTCTAGATTTACATAATAATTGGTGGGAGAGCTTTGACTTTTCAACAAGAAAGAAATATAATGAACAGTATGTCAAGAAATATAATAGACAGTATGTCAAGAAATATAATACAGTATGTTAATAAATATAATAAACAGAATGTCAAGAAATATAATGAACAGTATGTCAAGAAATATAATAGACAGTATGTCAAGAAATATAATAGACAGTATGTCAAGAAATATAATAGAGAGTATGTGAAGAAATATAATAGAGAGTATGTCAAGAAATATAATAGAGAGTATGTCAAGAAATATAATGAACAGTATGTCAAGAAATATAATAGACAGTATGTCAAGAAATATAATGAACAGTATGTCAAGAAATTAACAGAAAGTTTAGAGGTCAAAATACTATAACTACATTTAAAAGAGAATCTCCTGAGACTGTATTTTAAATATCATTTATCACAAATAGTGTCTGCATGTGTGGTAGAGAGAGGAGGGTTCATATATTTTATGTCTACAAGGGACATTGATGACTTTTTATTACATTTGCATTCATATTTTTACAATTAAGGAGTTCAAATACCATGGTTCCTGTCACAGACAGAACATTTTGAAACCCTTTCCATTACCAAATGTCCCAAATCTATATGGATTTTTATTTTATTTATTTATTTTTCTACCAAATGTCGATCTTGGCTGTATTGAATTCATAGCCTAAATGAGGGGCACTTCACAACCGGACAATGTCATAACTAGTCGATCTGACCTCATGTCTGTCTGGTAGGATAATGACATGATAATGTATGTTAGGTGGTAATGGCATAATTTATCACAGGATATTTAAAATGCTGTTCACGCACAGTCTGCCGGTCAACCAACAAGACGGTTGGAAACACATGGGGAAAATAGCTGAACTTTCACAGCACTTAGGCTAGCCTATTTTATGTGTACAGCCCGGTAAAGCTTGACTAAATACAATATCCATTTGGGATATATAACAGCTGACACGGTGTCAAGAAGTTGTCACGCTGGTATTGATCCAGAATTAAATGGTCGCTTGGTTCTGTAACAATGCCTGAGAGACTCACTCTATGTATCAATAGCACTGAGACCAAGCATATTTACGAACCATTTAAACGCAAAATGTTAGATAGATGTTTAATCTACACAAAATGTGTAGAACGTCCATAACGAGTAAAAAGCGGTCTCCGTCAATTGCGTTGCGCGTCTCGCAATCAATGCTCTTATGCCAACTGGCATCTTTATCAGTGTAGGGCATCAGCCTTGTTTAAAGGTTATGATTGCCTTAATGGCAAGGTAATCAGATGTGATTAACACATTGTAAATACATTTATTAACTATGTCCACGTACCTTCATTAGCCGGTATAGAGAGAGTCCTGAGCACCGCGAGGCTGAAAAAGCACGTCCACACTTTCAAGTAAAACAGTCCACCACAATTCCACGCCAGTGTCATTTTTTTCATTTAAAATGGTGACAAAACGAAGGCGTGATGAATGTACGGGTAATTCAGTTTAGTACGGAAACGCTCCTAAAGTGAATAGCGGAGACATCTGCGTCCTTATTTGTCCGTCTATTGAAAGATAAAAGCGTATTATGCTGTGGGTAGGTCCGTCTGTAGGCAGGCACACCGCTAGAGAGAGGAGAAGTGGAGCGCTGAATTTGGAGAGGCAGATGAGAGGCAGAGAGGAGAGCTGCGCAGCGCCGCCAGCCTGAAGCACGTGTGGGCGGAGTGAAGTTCAGAGCAGAGGGAGACTCCAATGGGCATAGAAGCTCTCCACTCCACACTAATACAGACACACACACACACACACACACACACAGAGCACTACAGCCCGTTACCCTCTGTCAAACAGTACACGAATGACCCCCAATATCGCGCACAACACACCATAGACTGAACCAGAATACGGGTTTAAAGGAGAGGTTGAATATGGCAATTATCCTTTAAGCCCAGGAAGCAGCCATTCAACCTGCCTTTCAACAGCTTTTTAATCTTAATAATGTCAAAATACGTTCATTCGGTACTTACCAAATAATGGAGTTTCGCTGAGCAACTATCATCATTCCTGCCGTTCCAGCCAGTATGTACCAAAAAAAGGTTTAAATAAAAAGTTACATGCAACCAAAAAAGGTATTGTCTGGAAAGTCTGTATTGTTTTTGAGCAAGTGCGCATGCGCCAAAACCCACTTCTGGGAAAATACTGAACGATTTTTGACATTTTTAAACTTGGGCTTAAAAAATAATTGCCTATATACAACGTCTCCTTTGATTCTGGTTCATCCACAGACATGCACGTTGGAGTTTTTTATTTCACGTGTAAAATTAGGACAATATTACTGTTTGTTGAATTGTCAATCATTACAAAAATCTTGTGTCATATAATGATGCAACAATATTTATATTCAGTGGTAAACTGACCTTCAGACTCTCAGGGTCTGATAACAGAGCGTCTGTGTGTTGACAGTGTTGGTATCAAAATAGATAACAAGGACACTCTTAATTTATTGTTTGATATGATTCATAATTGCATGTCAGAGGATTTTAAACATCCTAGGCAATAAATATGTTGATGAAAAATGTGCCTTTTGATGTTAAACAGAGAATGCAACCACCCACCCACCCACTCTCTCTCTCTCTCTCTCTCTCTCTCTCTCTCTCTCTCTCTCTCTCTCTCTCTCTCTCTCTCTCTCTCTCTCTCGCTCTCTCTCTCTCGCTCTCTCTCTCTCTCACTCTCTCTCTCTCTTTCTCTCTCTCTCTCTCTCTGTCTCTGTCTCTTTAATCTCTAGTGTGATTTTGTGATAGTGGTATTTCTGTTCTGCTCCTTGGTCTGCCTGACACCTCCCATACTCCTCTAATCTGTTCCTCTCCTCTCACCAGTGAGCCAGGATCCTCTGTGTGTGTGTGCATGTGGCGACCTGTCATTCAGGGCAGAGTCCCACCTGTTTTGAGCCCCACCCGTTTAGCTAATATATATATATATATATATACAGTATACACTACCAGTCAAAAGTTTGGACACACCTACTCATTCCAGGGTTTTTCTTTATTTTTACTATTTTCTACATTGTAGAATAATTAGTGAAGACATCAAAACTATGAAATAAAACATATGGAAACGTGTAGTAACCAAAAAAGTGTTAAACAAATCAAAATATATTTTATCTATATTTTATATATCCTTCTTAATGCATTTTTTGTTTTGTGACAAGTTAGGGGAATATACAGAAGACAGCCCTATTTGGTAAAAGACCAAGTCCATATTATGGCAAGAACAGCTCAAATAAGCTAAGAGAAACAACAGTCCATCGTTACTTTAAGACATGAAGGTCAGTCAATAAGGAACATTTCAAGAACTTTGAACGTTTCTTCAAGTGCAGTCGCAAAAACCATCAAGCACTATGATGAAACTGGCTCTCATGAGGACCACCACAGGAATGGAAGACCCAGAGATACCTCTGCCGCAGAGGACAAGTTCCTTAGAGTTACCAGCCTCAGAAATTGCAGCCCAAATAAATGCTTCACAGAGTTCAAGTCACAGACACATCTCAACATCAACTGTTCAGAGGGGACTGCGTGAATCAGGCCTTCATGGTCAAATTGCTGCAAAGAAACCACTACTAAAGGACACCAATAAGAAGAAGAGAACTGCTTGGGCCAAGAAACACGAGCAATGGACATTAGACCGGTGGAAATTTGTCCTTTGGTCTGGAGTCCAAATTTGAGATTTCTGATTCCAACCGCCGTGTCTTTGTGAGACGCGGTGTGGGTGAACGGTTGATCTCTGCATGTGTAGTTACCACCGAAAAGCATGGATGAGGAGGTGTTATGGTGTGGGGGTGCTTTGCTGGTGACACTGTCTTTGATGTATTTAGAATTCAAGGCACACTTAACCAGCATGACTACCACAGCATTCTGCAGCGATACGCCATCCCATCTGGTTTGGGCTTAGTGGGACTATCATTTGTTTTTCAACAGGACAATGACCC